AGTAAAAACTGTTGCACTTCCTTGATGAAGTTTGGTTCTGAGAGACATATTTCCTCAGTATGTGACGAAAGAATTCCTTGTGTGTCCCTGTTCAAAGACATGTAAAAAATGCAATTGACCTGAAACTAATATTGACCAGAGTAAGTTCAGTAAGGAGGTTAGTTATACTTTGATTCTGTGCTGGTCGTCCCAGCTCAAGGTGGCTCTGCTGAAAGGACCTTCTGGCCACTGGAAGCTTGGGTTGATGGAGCTCCTTTCTGCATGGGTGCCTTTCTTCCGCCAGGGTTTGCTCTACATCAGGGAGAGGAGAAGCCAGAGGCAAGAGCTGCTGGCATTCAGCTTGCAGCACTGGAAGCTCTCCCCACAAGGGTGACTGTTGGCTGGTCTCTTTGTAGGCGAAGGCAACTTACTTTGCTTTAGCAAAGCAGAGTGGAGAATTTCAGTGTAACTGCTTTGGGTGCAGCTGTGTCTTGAGAATCCATCAGCTTGTAGAAGAAATTATTCAATGTGATCTGGCTCTGGAGATGGTTTTGTCTTTTTTCTTTTTTTTTCTTTCATTGCTTCCCTTATATGTTGTAACTCTCTTTAGTGATTAGCTCAACGAATATACCTTTCAGGAGAAAAGAGGCTTTTTTCCTTTAAACACTTAATTTTTTCTACCAGAAAACTGAGTATGCTTACCCATTCTAAAAGACTATATGTATGTCTAAAAAATATGCACGCACTTTCTGAATATTGTAGTATGTAATTGATAGGTTCATAGCGTTATAAATTGGAGTTTGGACTGTTCCTTTCCCAAACCCACACGATTACCTGGTGATACAAAGAGTCTTGGTGAAGGCAAATGCTTTTACCAGAAACTTCAGTCACCAAAGTCTGGGAGGTGGCCCATCTTGACACTAATTGCTGTCTGTTGTGTGATTGTGTGTTTGATCTCGGAGAGGACATGATTGACTCTGTTATTTGAAGTGGCAGAATTTGAACTATCTATCATTGTCAGACAAATACTATACTGATTACTGAACTGCTACAGTTTACAGCTTTTAACAAGCTATCAAGATATAATTTAAAGCCTTTTTGAATTCCTATAGCTTGCACAGCTGAATGCTCTCCCCTCTTTTCCCATTAATGGCAATAGCCCTGGTAGTTACAAGAACAAACTACGTGGGAAATTATGGCAGTGTAAATTGTGAATGGTTTGCAAATGACAGTGAATGAGTGCTGAGCTCTATTGCTTTAAGAATTTGAATAAAAATATTTATCATGCAGGGGAATAAATTATATAGGAATAATTAAGTCTCTTATTTGAGTTATTTCTGTGCATCTCATTTGATATATTTGTTGTTGCATTCAGCACTTAGGCTTTTGCAGGCTTTGGGCTTCACAAGGTAATATCTACAGCACAGACAGAAGTCAAGAAAAGATTTTGAAATTTACCAAGGAGACATATATGTCCACAGACACCTACACACATATCCAGCTGTGGCTTTTAGATGTGCTTAAGTGGTTTTCTATAGTACATAGAGCCCTCTGCCTAATCCAGCATCTGATGTCAGATAGGTGAGACCTTCATAACTCCATTTTCAGTTTCTTAATGTCCCTGTTTTCTGTCATTTACTTTCTTTGAATGTCACGAACATCAGCCATTCATACATACGGATGAGTACTGCAGCTCCCTGGGTCCCCTGGGTGACGTAGCTGAGATCATTCTGAAAGACTCTTATTCTCTGGATTTAAAAATTCATTCTCTTTATATTTTAATTTCCAGCCCAGCTGTCTGTGATCCTTAAAGAATATTTAATTCTGTTTGCTGGCTGTGTTTCTTGATTGAAATTTAAATAAAAACTCACTGATCACATTCTTCTCTGACAATTTATAAAAAAATGTTTTTCAGTGCAGAATAATTATGTGATCGCATGAGTTGGAGTCTCTTCTGTGCAGTGTAAGCCTGATGTCTACAGTGGTGACTGAGGGGGAATAAATGGGTGCCCAGGCTGGCCCCGAGTGGGTAGGAGACTTCATCAGTGGCAGTTCTCACAAAACACTCGCACACGAGATTATTCATGGTGCTTTCCTTAGTCTGTTTGCTGGTCCATGGAGCCCCAAATACGTTTCTCCTCTCACACATCCTAAAAAAGGTGGTTTTGTTGCTCTTCTCATCTGTGCTGCATTGGGATCAGTTAAACAGGGGAATCAGCACTGTCGTCTCTTCTCATTATACTGCAAATCTCTCTGACACTTCAGTCCTCTAAAAGAGTATCTTCACTGAAGTGTGTTTTGTCATGTGTCAGTTACATTTACCAATGGGCTAAAAATGAAAGAGAATTTTTTTTTTCTTTTATTTCTCTGGAAATGGAAATGTGTTTTTCTGCAAAAGTCTTGATGACTGAGGAACTACGATTCCTTTCCCCCATCCATTCTTTCATATATCAAATGGGAGAAATACAATGAACTAGATGATATTTAATTCCTTGGGAGGCAACTCTTTCCTTGCTAAGAAATGAAAGGTATTATTTGTCCTTTGGAGAGACAGACATTACTGATGAGCTACCGAGCACATCTTGAGGTCTCTGAAGCTCATACAGGTCTAAGGATCTTTGGTCCTGGAAGATGTTTTGACATCTGGGTTTTAATTCTCACCTTCGTTAGGAATCTTGTTAAATAATGATGTTGCATGAAAACGTGCATCTTTTTCCATATGCTCTTCTTTGAATTTCTGATCTGCACTCCCTCTTTATTATGACTTTAAGTTATTTGTGAACTAGGTACAATGTAGTCTATCAGGAGAAGTCATAGTGCTGGGGTTTGGACTGTATGTAGCAATATGTGTTACTAATTTATATGCCTCAGATACTACTTTTGATCTTTATTTTTATCAGTATTTCATTCCTCGGGGAAAACAGATCAGACTGTGTTGATGGAAGACTGCCCTAGATTCATGAACGAAGTATTGACTCATTAGTAGGTTGATTCAGAAAATGTTGGTTGTTTTTTTTCCCCCGAGTTAGGTGGTGTGCTTGTTTGCAATGTCAGAATATTTGCAAACAAAATATAGATTATCGATTTCCTAGGATGAAATTATTTGTGCTATTTGAAATGTGTTGATATTTTTCACACTTGGTGTAGAGTAATTGGCACATAGGCAATTCTGACAAGACAGAAAATGCAGAGAGGCACTGGATTTCATCAAGCAAAAAAAACCCCAAAATACATAGGCCAGCCAAAGAAACATACTTCCAATGTAGATGCTTCCCTGCAAGAGCAGGTGGCGCAGTACTGCCCAATGTGCCCCAGTACCTGACAAGATTCCAACCTTTATTTGCCAGCAGCCAGTAAGCCAGTGAAGTGATTTGCTTGTTATATAACCCATCGCTCTTAATGAATGCAATGTAATGAAATGTTTAACATTTGTGAGAAAATATTTTTAGAAAGATAAGAGCTTGGTCAAAGGTAACTCCTTCCCATGAATTCGGGAAATTATTTCATGTATTATTTAAATGCTCTCTTGGCAATTTGCTTTGACTAGTTCTGGCAGCAATCTGAGGAAGACGGGTGCTTTGTCATGCCAGAGAGGAACCTAATGAAGTTCAACAAGGGCAAGTGTGGGGTCCTCCACCTAGGGAGAAATAACCCCCTGCACCAGTACAGGTTAGGGGTTGACCTGCTGGAAGGCAGCTTTGCAGAGAGGGACCTGGGAGTCCTGGTGGACAAGTTGACCACGAGCCAGCAATGTGCCCTTGTGGCCAAGGCGGCCAATGACATCCTGGGGTGCGTTAAAAAGAGCGTGCCACCTAGGGAGAAATAACCCCCTGCACCAGTACAGGTTAGGGGTTGACCTGCTGGAAGGCAGCTTTGCAGAGAGGGACCTGGGAGTCCTGGTGGACAAGTTGACCACGAGCCAGCAATGTGCCCTTGTGGCCACGGCGGCCAATGACATCCTGCGGTGAGTTAAAAAGAGCGTGGCCAGCAGGTCAAGGGAGGTTATCCTTCCCCTGTACTCTGCACTAGTGAGGCCACATCTGGAGTACTGTGTCCAGTTCTGGGCTCCCCAGTTCAAGAAAAACGGGGAACTGCTGGAGAGAGTCCAGTGGAAAGGTATGATGATGATCAAGGGACTGGAGCATCTCTCTCATGAGGAAAGGCTGAGAGACCTGGGTCTGTTTAGCCTGGAGAAGAGAAGACTGAGAGGGAATCTCATCAATGCTTATAGGTACCTAAATGGCAGGTGTCAAGAGAGTGGGGTCAGACTCTTCCAGTGGTGCCCAGTGACAGGACAAGGGGCAACGGGCACAAACTGGAACACAGGAAATTCCATCTGAACATAAGGAAAAACTTCTTTTCTTCGAGGGTGACCGAGCACTGGCACAGGCTGCCCAGAGAGGCTGTGGAGTCTCCTTCTCTGGAGACATTCAAAACCCGCCTGGATGTGTTCCTGTCCAACCTGCTGTAGGTGGCCCTGCTTTGGCAGGGGGGGTTGGGCCAGATGGTCTCCAAGGGACCCTTCCAACCCCTACTATTCTTATGCGAAAGTACCTCTAAATGTCTGTCAGACTATTACTTACAGCAGCTGTACATTTTTCAGGCTTCTATAAGAGCCTGAAGTTCAGTAAGAAGTATTTGATTAAGCAATATAATTTGTATATGTGAATACAATTGTATATACTGTGGCATGCTTTTTTCCAGCCTAATGAGTTAAACTCCAGCCATATACTTATTTGCAATCAATCTGCAATGTTTGCAAAGTGATATTTTTTTTTAATTAAATGAACAGTGTTTGTGTTCTAATATGCTGTTAAATTATTTACTGTGGAGTATACTAAGGCTTTCAGTTATATAAACAGTTATATACGTATATACATACACTCGGGGGGGGAGAACACAAGAAAAAAAACACTGCAGCTGTAAATTAAAGGATTATGAACAGTGAAGGTTTTCATTTTTGTTGTAAATAATTTTTAATCTTTTTATGTTTTCCTTTTTTTCTGTTGGTTGTTTTACAGTTAAAGAATCTGAGTTTAGAAGAATTACAGATGCGATTAAAGGCTTTGGACCCTATGATGGAACGAGAAATTGAGGAGCTTCGTCAGAGGTACACTGCAAAGAGGCAACCTATCCTAGATGCGATGGATGCAAAGAAACGGAGGCAACAAAATTTCTGAGTTTGTTTTACTTTCAGAGTCAGTGTGGACACTGGTAACTTTAAGTCTGAAGGAATTCCATTATGAGAGTTTTCAAAAACCTGATCTTTTGAATTTTCCTTCACAAGCAAAGACAATTGGAGCAGTGAAAGAACATGCAAAGGCAGTGAAACACAGTACCACTTGTTTGTATTTTCAAATGTTTAATGTTCAATCTGTTACTTCCCAGTCTTTTTCAGGTGTATAGTGGTAACTTGGTGTTGTACATTAGGGGTTGTGTTTTGGAGCACCTGGAACGATGTCTTGATTGTGCAACACTACAGAGCCTTATGTTGCAATATATTTTCTTCCCACTTAGTAGCATATTTATTATGTAATCTTTGGTTATCCTATTTATTTTATGCCTATTTTCTTTTTTATTAGGAAGTACTAGGATAATATTGTGGAGCGCAGAGTCAGATTAGATAAGATTGGTATTGTAGTATAATGAAAAGAAGCTCACCACTATATTATCTTTTAAAACTCCAATTTCAGCAAGCATCCCAGTTCAGGACAGCACTTGAACATGTATCCAACCCATTCATCCCAGTAGGATTTAAGCATAAAATAAGTAATAGGCACATGTTTTTCTGCTCTCCTGAACCAGGGACTCTGGCTGTAGTGGAGCAATACAGTTGTTGCACTACAGACCATTGTTTTAGAGAGTATTTCTATCATTTTTACACACAGTGAATGATCTGTCATTAAACAAGAAAACAAGTGCCTAATCATTTTTGATTTTTCTGTTATTCAGGAGAAGCAATACTTGCAGTCACTCCTTCAGTGTAAATTTCCAATTGCTATTGCAATTCTGACCAGTATAAACCTCTATTTTGCACCATAGTTTTATAATGAAGTAACAGATACACTTTCTAGATAGGTTTTTTGGTTCTTTTAATTTTTTATCACTGTTTTGTGGGGAGAGGGTAGTTATTAGTGGTTTGAGTTATGTTTCACATTATAGATCTGAAGGGATAGTAATCTAAAAGCCAAAGAAAATCAATTGAATACTTATATATAATAAATACTGAAAAGAAGCAATGTTTTGCAGTCCTGTGAGGGTTTTGTCCTGCAATCACTAAACATTCAAAATTCCTGTGGTCTTCTGGGGTAGGTTTTGGGGAATCAGAAATGCAGGACCAAGTTCTTAATATCTTTTTACAAGTTCTTCTGTCTGGTTTATATTGTGGGATATCCAGTAGGTAAAATTTACAACATTGCAAGAAATATTTCAGACTTAGTAGAAAATGTGATCTGCTTTCTGAACAATCTACTGTGTTCTTTATTGATATCTTTACTATGGTTGCCTTTTGTGTAAATAACTTTACTGTGATAGTCATACTTCTTTAAACAATACAGCTGAAAAGATCTTTACATTCAACCCTCAGCTGTTAAACTTTTAATGGTGACTACTGTATGGGCATCTTCTGTTACGTGTTTCCTGGAAGTTAGTAATCATCTCATACCTCTTAACATTTACCGTCATCATACGTGGACCATTTAGGTGGAACAGTTCAGATTTTGGAAATGGTGCGTTATATCACAAAGCTTACACAAAAAGAAAACAAAAGTTTTTACAAGATCAGCATTCTACAGCCGTGCTGGGACCACGCTTGGGTTTGAGCTGTATACAGCCATTGTTGTCATTGTCATTCTGTGTGTGTGTGTTTGCGTGCACGCCACGTTCTAACATGTAAACGCTAGAGTCAAATAAATTTTACTTGTGATTGTTAGAACATCCTTACCCTCAACTCTCTTCATATTTCTTAAAGTAATGACCATTGACCATCCCTTATGAAAAAGCAAGAACACAGAAGATCCATGAAAATTACTTTAGGCAAGATAAATGCACCTGGTAGTCTTATGCCTCACATTTATACAAAGAAATGATGTAAAGTAAAAAATGGTATAATCATATCACCATGTCATTAGATTATAATCATAATGCAGCAAAAAATAACAACACCAACCTCCCCCTATTAGTATGATTCTTATTTATTTTTAAAATTAATTTGTAATTCTTGAACTTTTTATTCTCAAAAACTCAAAGGCCTGTGTATGTACATATGTGTGTGTATACCTACGCAAATATGCATATCTATATATATAAGAAAAAAATATAAAACAGATGTAAACCATCAGGAGAGGAACCTAGATTGCCTTTTCTTGGGGTGCCTTTTAAGCAAAGTGTCATGGTCCAGACACTCTTGCTTGCATCATTAGCAGCTTGCTTTTCCCTTACTCTCTTAAACTTTTCCCACCAAAAATAAGACTTTGATTTTGAATAACGTGGCTTTACAGTGTAATAGGCGATGTAATAAAGTGATCACAATTTTCATATCTTGTGTATTCTGAAAACTTCAGTCATGCAGTGCACTAAATATGAATTGCCTATCCAGAGGGATTCCAGGGAAAGGGCATTTTAGACTAGAGCTGTTGCAGTCTGACATGTGAAAGGTATCAAAAGATGAAGGACATCCTTTCTTCATTCCTGATCTGTCTGCATAGAAACAACTTGAACAAAGTTTGTGCACAGGCATGCACCCAGGTATGGGTTATACATGCAGGGCAAAAATCTGAAAGCCATGGAGTAAAATAAAAATGTAAACAAGCTACTTAAAATGGGTGAAAAATAGTTTCTGAGATACTGTAAACTGGGTAGGTATAGGACATTTGTGACCAAAGAATACTTTCACCAATTAATATAAAATTAGTAATGTTGCCCTTCTGATAAGGTGCACGCTGCAGTCAGTGTAAGAGCTGTCTTTGGCTTCAGAAGCCACTCTATAAGGCTCTAAATTATGTGCAAGCATAATGTCTAGAAATAGGTTTTATATTCAGAGGTGGATAAGACTTATTTTTTCTTTCTTGTGTTTATATAAATGAATCAAATCATCCATGTTGATGACTACACATCTCTACTGGAGGATGAGCATCTCTGTAAATGAAAGCCGATAGTACAATAAATAAGACATTTTAAAATAAAGCCTTGCAGGAAATCCGATAGAACTACTGACAAGTTAACCTTCAGTAAGATTTTAACCAAGCAATTTCTTGTTTGCTTCTGACTTTGTATGTTTAGGTTTAGTAAGTAAAAAAAAAAAAAAAAAAAAAAAAAAAAATTGAAAAATCATTACCTATTACTAAACATTTGTAATAAAAGCTAATTTTTCATGTATAATTGTTGTCTTGTTGTTCATTCTAACTGAAGCTAAATTATGTTAGTAGTAACCATTAATGTTCATTTCCATAGTCATCTGTTATGCTTTTATTTCCTTTCTGTAATACTCTGAGTGCAGAAAACCATCTCTCAAAGTCAGCTCTGGAAAGGATTTTTCCAGCTGTAAGACATTTCTGCAAGCTTTACAAGTCTGAGGATCTCAGTGGAAGAGTATCAGGTCAGTCTAAGGACGGACATCCTTGATACTTTGTGGAAGTCCCTCTCTGCAATCTAAGGTTGCTAAAGGCCTAATCCTGAGAGAGCTGAGCCACCATCCCAGTATGTTGGAAGTCTTCATAGACATCCTTTCCTTGGAGGTACGTTAGCAGCTTTAGGTGCTCCTTTGATTTTTCTAGTGTAATGAGAACGATAGGTAATGGATAGGCAATGGATAGGCTTAACTAGGAAAAGTGATTACATTTAATGTCTCAAATTTGATTTCATAGCCCATTTCTTTTCTGATTTTTAGATTATTCTCTAAGAAGTTGCCTACAAAGACACTTTAGTAAAAGGAACTCGTGAACAAAACTTCTTAGTGAACCACGCTATGTTTGAAATGACAAAATTCTACTGCTAATCTGAATGAATCTGACAATTATTGGATCATATAATTTTTTACTGTTTATTTACGGTAAATAATAGCTTGCCTGTATTTGCCCAGGTATATTCAGGCAAGAGTGCACAGCAGTTCAGACTGCTTCTCCGTCCAGTGTGTTGAACTTCCAAATATAAATATGGCTCATGATGAGTGAATCCATGCACAAGTCCATGAAAGAGCCTTAGTCACCGTTAATAGGCACTGGTGCTTTCAAGCAGAATGTATACTGTACAACTTCTGTAAAGCACTTTGTGTGCACACTGTTTTATTAATGTGATACGATGGGGGTTTCATTTTCTTTTTAAGTGTATATGTGATTATAAAACTAATTAAAAAGACTTTACGATGTGAGGAAGTCTTTATTTCTTTGCATTCATAAATATTAAGGGCTCCAGCTTGCTGTGGCGTTTCTTTTTGTACTTCCAAAGGCGATGATGGATGTTCTATAATGTCATACAGCTGGCTGGGAAATCGGCTTTGGGATGTTTCTGTGCCAGGCTGTGGTGCAGCAGTGTTATGCCCGGCATTGCCAGTGAAAGCCTTGGAGGAGGCCAGCCCTGGGTAGCGCGTGGTGTTTCTCACCATTGTGTTGTGCCAGTAATGAAGCCAGAAATGGCTTCATCTGTTTTGGGACAAGGCAAAATTACATCGGTGGTTCAGTGTGAAGTCATTAAGTTGCACCTGGGGACTTGCCCGGTTAAGTTTGTTTTAAAATACTTTTCACACAAAATCTATTTCTCCTGTCTGTTTAGTGTTTTCATTATGGAAGGGACTACCGTTTACATGGTGTGCTCTCATCTTTTTTTTGTTTGTTTTGTTTTGGTTTATTTTGTTGTGTTTTTTAAAGAATACTTGAAAATTCCCCATATTTTGCTGCTTCTCTTCCCCCTGCTCAGGAAGATGAATGTGGGCGTTACTTTTACAAGCGTCCCCTGAGCCAGGTGTTCTTGGGACACTGCACAAATGCAGATGTCAGCAATAGGTTTTATTCTCTTCTTCTTTTCAGAGATCACTGAAGTAAAGTCTCGGCTGTCCCGTTTTCCCTTCATTTGAAAATATGGGATGTTCAGATTCTAACCAAATCTTTCTCTTTCAGAACATTTGTTGGTCCCGGACAGACTAGGTACTGGGTACTTTCTTCCATTGTTTGCTTCACAAATTCCT